CTAAATTAGAATATGCTGCCTCGGTTTGGGATCCTGTATCTGCCAATCTAATACACTCAGTCGAAATGGTTCAAAATAATTCTACCCGCTTTATTCTTTCCAATCAAACCACACCGCAAGCATACAGGCAATGAAAATCTAGCTTGACCTTACCATCTTTAGCATCTCGCCGTCAGTTTCTTCGTTTGTGTCTTTGTCACAAAATATATCACCATCCCCAATTACATAATGAACTTATTCACTACCAGATTATGTATCACCTCGTCTAGATTAATCGTCACAAGGTCGGAGTTCCATTATGCAGAACAAATGGCTGCCAAATACACATCATTCCTACCACGCACGAGCCATCGAATGGAATCACCTTCCGCATCAATAGCAACTATCCAAGATCATGAATTGTTTAAAAACACCATTAGCTAAGACTGTATGAGTAGGAGCCGCACCACTGTAATAACTGCATATCCATTGCTGCATTTCTTTATTCTTTTTTTTTTCTTTTTTTTCTTTTGTGCTAATACCACTCCCCTCTGTAATACCTCCCGTCCCGAGGGTTCCAATAATAAAATGAAAATGAAATTACTCAGCCTGAACAAAAAAAACGATTTGTCCCAAGCTTTTGCCACCACCAGAATATATTTATCGGCGGGAAACAAATCTACAGCCAAAGGAGGGCTCGCTAGCCCGCAGCGCTGCATCCTTATGGTTGAAAAGGAGATACATATAAATCGAAGGGCACACCTCGCTTAGCGAAAGTTTTTATAGCCACGCGTAATTGTACACACTACTCTCCTTATCCTGTGCTCTTGTCTGGAGCGAACGTGGAGAGGAGCAAATTCACACATCAACTTTGCGGCGCACGGTTACTTGCGAGCCGCCCCGGAAGCGACGGCGTGGGCACGCAGAAGAACCGCCGCGCTAACAAGAAGATTAAGCAGATGTACCCAAGTGACCGCTCCGGGTTCAGTGAAAGTGTCAGTTGTCGCTTAGTATCAGATCGCAGTACAGAAGCGCACATGTGTATTGCGGAAAGCCAATAGAGCCCGTTCTGTAGCAATCTTGCATGGCTGCGTCAGCCAAACCCAGTGGCAGTTTCGAAATGCCCCTCGGCGTCACCACGGCGCACTGTAAATCGATCTTGCGAGAGTGCCAGCCCAAAAAAGCTTCCGCACTCTGGCAAAAAGGAAGGAAATACTTTCTGGTGGGTACTTTAGGCAACATCTGCTGTGGTACTGCATTGTTTCTTAGTGACGATGGCGCACCTCAGGAGATATTTGCACTTGTAAACGCGCACTGCCTTCGAGGTTTCAATAATGGAGGTTTTAATATACAATAATGTAGGTGCCACCACTTTTGTGGGGAACCACGGCAATAACAGCAGTGAGACGAGGACTTACAAGCCACATGAATGAACCAAACTACGACGTCATCGAACTACACTGTATATGGATGTGGCCCCCTCGTTGGTGTAGCCAACGCTGATTGTTGGTCGGTCGACGATAATGATCGGCTAGATTCGGCGTTTTACACTTCTAATGAACGATTATCATTGTCGTTTAGGCACCGCCTGACGCAGCAGGTCAGATTGGGGCAGAATCGGGTAATTGACGCAGCACTCCCCTATACAATCAGTACAATACATTTGTTCACAAAGTACAGTTTTTGAATCACTACGATACAGTTTTTCACTACCGCTGCAGCTGGCGTTCATTACACTATCGAGCAATATGAATAAAACAAAGGACATAAAAACATCTAGGAAACAATTGAATTCGAACCAAGTCCCCTGCGTGCCAGCGCAGATAGGCAACACTGAGCTATATGCCGCTGCTTAGAACTCCGTAGCAAACTCATCCTAGGCATATCAAGAAGGGAATCGCATTAATGTGTGTGATAAAGCAAAGGAACAGCCAGGCGTCCTACATGCTCGAATGGTACAACCATTACAAGAGTGCTAGCCATAATTCCTCGTCATCAGCTACAGAATGAAAAAACTGCACAAAATTCCTTGCGTGTATGTAGCGGGTACCATGCTTCTCCGAAAAATGACTGAGGATGGCATGGTGAACGCCTTCCTACTACACAAAATTACGACGGCCTATGGTGTAGTGGGTACCGTGTAAGTGTGCTTGCAGCAGTTAATAAATATTGGTTAAAAAGGTTCTGAAAGGCCTCTGTTCCAGCTTTTTCTGTGAGTGGCTGCGCATTCCGCGCAGGCCTGGTTTTTTATTATGACACTCTCGGCTACATTTCACCACCGGCGTTGACGTCGATGCCATGCACCGTAATTTATATATATATATATATAATATTGTAGTGTAATATATATATATTGTAGTATATATATATTATCGTCCTTCACAGCCGATAACCAAGCCCTCCAAAAAGATCGCCACGACCATGATCTTGTTCAGAATACCTTCCCGTCGGTTCTCTGTGTGGCTCCGACTGCCTTTCCACTTTCCTGGACTGACTCCCAGTTTGCACCGAAGTATACGGGCCCTTACCGCGTCATACAACACCCTTCTTCTGTCACCTATGTGATTGAACACTCAAGCCGTCCACGGACAAGCGCCGCCTGGTCGTGAGACGGTCCACGTCAGTCGCCTCAAACCCTGTTACGACTCCTGTTTTCTCTCGTCACCTTGAGTCGCCAGGATGGCTCGTCTTCGTAGCCGGGGCTTGTAGTGGGGAATTCGCAAGGCAATGATAGTGGGACCATCGCTGAGTGCGAAGCGCGCAGAGCTGTAGACACTGGACTGCCCGAGCATTTGTTCTGTACCGGCTGTCTGCCTATTATCTGGCGTCGCTAATAAACCCCCTTGCAATAATATATATATATATAATATATATATATATATGAAACGCAAGAAAGAAACAATCCATCAAAAGACTCCACCGCGTGGAATCGAGCGTGGGACTCCGCGTCGTGAAGGCGAGACTTAACCATTGAGCCACCGAGGATCCTCCTCTAATGTTCAAAGGGCACGCAATTTATATCTACCACTTACCGCTTTGGCAGGCATCTCGGGGAGGGGGGATGATCGTGTTTTCAGCATTGTCAGCTAGACACGCACTGAGTGCGCGGCGGATGCTCCTCCTCTTCACGCGTACTGTCCCACGGAGAGGAGGAGTGGGCGATCTCGCGCGCCTTTATCTCCCGGGGGAGGATCAGCCTTGGCTGGCGTTGCGCGTGCACTGAAACGATTCTATTTAGTTAAGCGGTGCACAAAGGTCACTACAATGGTTGCACAGTCTCCGTTTGCGAAAACGTCACGCTTTTCTGGCACATTTCAATAACAAATGAGACGCTTATTCGCGTTCATCCGTACCTGTGACTACGTTTCGTGCGTCATTTGTGCGTGAGAAACGCGGGGCACGTTTCTATCTGGTTTTCATTTTGCGCGTGACCTTCCAATTTGTTGCTATCGCGTTCATTGCTTCGGCTTTGTGGGAAATCCATGACCTTTTTTTTTTACCGCAGATCATATGCGGTCCTAACCACCTTAATATACATTGTTATTCGGAACATTAGGAAATACTTTGTATTGACACATTCACTGAACATCGTTCGTGTATTGAACAATGAAACGACAATAATCCAGTCCTCAGCCATATGTAAGCAATTTAGCGCAACTCGGGAACCCGTGCAAACACTACCACATTCACAATTGAATATGCTACTGATAATATTACGAGTTGCCAATTACTCCAACAAGTTTTAATAAGCTACACTGCTCAGAGATTTGAAAACGCAAATAATGACGGCATATCGGAGCACCTCAGAGATTATAGTAGGCCGGGAACCCGGCCATGTCGGTTATGATGGGAACAAACGAGTGGATGCCTGCGCAGCAGCAGCCGCACAAAAAAGCAGCGTTGACATGAGCATTGTGCCATACAAAGATCTAAAAGCGCTTGTCCACCACAATCTGTGTGAGAGGTGGAAAAAAGAGTCCGATGTAGAAATCAACAAAATCTATACTGTGAACCCTCGTAATAAAAGCCTAGTTTTTTTTGCTGTGATAGATACAGAGAAGCTGTTTTATGCCGTATCAATATAGGACATACCTATAACATTCATTACTATGTCTTAAACGGTTCTAACACCACTACGCGAGAGATGCATAAAGAACCTGTCTGTTTTATAGGCTTTGCTAGAATACACCAAAATGGAAGGGAAGCGGAAACGCCACTTTTCTGAGGCCTTTAAGAGACATATTTTGTTTCATCCATTGCTTCTATTTTTTATGAGAGAGCTGCATGACTTTTTTTCAGCAAGCAACTACACTTTTTAAACGAAGTTAATTTTTTGCTACGTATTTTCTGGGAACATAGGCCACAGCCCAGTCCTCAACTCTGAGGGCAAATCTTAGCTTGCATTTTTGTGATGTCGGTGTGATATTTAGATTATCCACAGCAAAATAATGTCAATTGATTCCTATATCAAGCGACAATACTTTGGTAGGGCCACTTGATATTAGCCACCAGATAAGTCTGAAGTCGCTTGTATACTGCAGTCATATATGCACCAATGTTTCATCTTTTTTGCACTTTATCACGTCTTCTCACGATACCAACATTATCATGATGTGAAAATGAAGTTTAATTGGTGCACCAGAAAATCAATTACTCTGACATTGCATTAAAATAATCGTTGCTTTGCGCCGTCAAACTTATCAACTATGTTTAAAGTACGAACGTTTAAGAAGCACGTGTGTGAGATTTATTGAATATATCCATGTCGTTATCTTAAATTTACTATGTATACTTATTTTACGCACAACCAGTGCACTGAACTTTAGGCTCTTTACATCCAGGTTACACTCGGCCATAGTCATAGATCACACTGTTCCATTTACATTTTCATTGTCTTGGTGCTCTACGGCTAATCTACCAATTGCACCCATTATATACTAATATTAACAATAGCAGTTCCACCGCGCTTATTGCGCTAGCATTGATCACAGACGTTACTAAAAGTGGCGTATGAATTCCAGGCCGTAATAATAGGACCATGGGCTCCCAAAGCAGTGGACTGCACAGTGTGCGTGCTGTGTATACTTTTGTCCCTAATGCTACCAGAGACCTTCAAGATGACGCTTCCGGACACTGTTGATGACGTCAAAAGAAGAAGGTAATAAAATTAAACTTTTCCGTAATACAAACTGCCAAATGAAGAGATTTCCAGGTTTATAGCTTCTCTAGACACATTATTTTGCTGCCAGGAGTAACATAAAGCAATATAGTCGAGCAGCACTCTTTGTGTCAATAATTTAATAAATTAGCAAGATTATATGTCTTCAAACTAGAATTACAAGAACAATTTTCGCAGCCTTGTCATGAAGTCTTGCAAGGTAAGCTATTTGGCAACGCATTTTCTTGTCTGGTTGTCTCGGAAACTATGATATCAACACTGCTACATAAGGAATGCACACTTGTGCTCATAACCTGGAGTTGCAGCTTCAGGCCCAAAATAGTTGTTTCCTCTTTTAAAATATTTAGAGACATAATATAATAAAGAATACCTTACCATAACAATGAATATACTTGAGTACGTTGTAACGCGTTACAGAGAATCTTGCGCTTGAACAGTTACGGATTATAGCATACACATAAATATATAGTTTGTTTCACATCTGTCATTATTTTGAGATATCTTCCTTGAGTGCAGCGTCACGTACCTTTATTCTGCGTTCTTCGTTTTTACCGAAACTTCGCAATATTTGTCAAAATTTTCAAGAATGGGCGAGTTAAAAGTACATATTTTTGTAGCTGCGATCTCCAAAATCTCTTCATCGAACAAAAATGTACCATTATATTGGGGATACACTTGAATTTAAAAATGTGTTTCGCACGCAATGAAGCATACTCTCAATTGGCAATAGCGCACCATTTTACAGAAGCGTGCGCGCTTTCGTGTATTTGTAGAGACTAACCGTTGCTTCGTTCTTCGATATAGCAAACTAAATAAAGCGTACGTGATGCTTGGGCATTTTCGAAGGAACATTTTACTCGAACGTCCGCAGTTTTACAAAGTTTTTTTTCTTCTGCAACGGAATTCTTAGTAGTGCGACTCCACAATGAAATAAGGCAAAGCGTACAGGCATGGAAATCATAAAAGAGAAGCAGACAACGATTAAGTCCGCGCATGCACGCCTGGCTTGTTCTCCTCTATTGTGACTGCTTACTTGGAACTACCTCTGATTTTTGTCGTTGTAAAGAGGGAATAAGCACTGAACCAGCCTATTGTGATAAACTTGTGAATGCGAATATTTCTTTGTCATGCAGCACGAAGAATGCCTCGAAAACAAAACCAGATGGCCTGGACAAATTAAACGAAGAATTTCTTTGCGTAACTGCTACTGAAGAGCAGGATGCCATTCAGAAATTGTCACAGGACGGAGAAAGGAGGCCATGATGAGCAAGTACAGCGAAAGACAACTAATTCACAAGTATTTGTGGGCATGTCATGCGACTGACGTGAAAAAAAGAAACAGAACGCTACTGTGAAGAGGTGCTATAGCTAAGACATCACATACAACTATTTCCAGAAGTGTATCTAAGGAAATTTTTTTACTGACACCTAAAGAGTTGTTAAGCCAATACGACCAGTGCAATAAACATTGGTTTTAGTAATTCGATGTATACTTGCAATCCTATTCACTTATGAAATTTTCGAAACCTCATTGGATATTGTGTTTTCTATTCTTACTCTGGCTCCTCTCTAATTTCCAAGTGCCTTCCAAGCTCCTGCGAATAAAATGAACGAGTTCTTTTTTATTATTCCGTGAAGATTGACGCAACTAAGAACTGATACTATATTTGCAAAGAAAGCGTTCGTAACAGACGAAGATCTTGTAATTAACATATGATCTGTACTCTCTCTCATTAGAAATGTTACTAAATGCCGAGCATTTCAGTGCATACTGAAACAATCTATCTATCTATCTATCTATCTATCTATCTATCTATCTATCTATCTATCTATCTATCTATCTATCTATCTATCTATCTATCTATCTATCTATCAATTTATCTATCTATCTATCTACCTCTTTATTTATCTATCTATCTATCTATTTATCTATCCGCCTACGTCTGGGTGCTCTCGCAATCACACCTTAACTTGGAGCATACGAAAATTTGTGTGCAATGCTGATGATGATGTTTGTGTTTTGTGGCACAAGGTTCGATTGATGGCAAAAAATCACCAGTTAATGGTACTAGAAAATTGCACGATGATTGCGATAAGCCGCTATCTACGGCCCTTCGAATTCCTCGTGCTAAGGTGGGAAAAAACATACAAGTATTGAAATTATTACCATGTCGTGAGATGTGTGTAGTGTGAATAACTGACGAAAGTTTGTGAAAATAAAAATCATGGTGAACATTTATGGCGTTAGCCCAAGTGCTTTGTTCAGTGCAGCCACTGCAGCGGAGACCTCTCTGAAGAAGTCGTGCTACGGAATGCCTGGGCATAAGACATGAAAGGTACGGACTTCTCTCAAAAAAGCCAACAACGATTAATGTCTCAAAATTGGTTCCCCACCGATGAACACTGCTGGTAAAGTGGTGTCTGTTGTCGGTAGGGCAATGAAAAGTGTTGTCTTCTGAGCGTGTCTAATTCTTTACAGTGCAATAAAATGTGAAGTACGGTGAGTGAAATCGTCAAAGGCCCCTCACACGGAGTGAGTAAAGCTGTCTTATAGAAGACAAAAAACATCCGAACTTGACTTGTCAATAATTCAGCAGTTTGAAGGTTGTTGCTTATCTGCGTTCACTTTAATATAATATTTAAAGATATGTAGCATCTATGTAGGTGGAGCAACCTTTTCCTCGGTTCCACGTACAGGCTTTTCACGGGACTAATGCGAAAAGCCCCCGTAGAGATATGGATGCCTAGTTAATGAAGAGGATCAAACATTTTAAGGGCAGTAGGTGTAGCAGACTGATATGTTATTGCCCCAGGCGAGTACGTATGATGCTTTTATACAATTGTATCGAACACTTCTTGTTACTTCCACGTAGTGCGTGACAACACCTTTAGAATATTCATTTCTTTTATGCAGTTGTTTTTAAATACTTGATGTGTAGAATGAAGGTTAGCTTGGCGCCCAAGATTAGGCCTAACAATTTGTGTTCAGTACGGGGACAGACTCAACTACAGTTTCAGTTCTATGTAAACAGGAACCCAACCATCGAGTAGACTCTATAAAAGATTTGGGAATAATTCATAATGACAAATTTAACTGGAGTCCGTGCATAGATTATATATAACTACCAAAGCACAACGGGCCCCAGGCTTACTGCAAAAGCTATGCAACCGGAAATTTGGGCTACTGAGGCACACCTTAATAATGTTGTACAAGATGTACATGCGCCCCATCATGTAATTCGGATGCATGCTATCCTCGCGTGGCTCTGCTTATAAAGCAAAACCTCTAGTTGTCTTGGAGCGACAAGCACTGCGAATGTGTCTAGGACTCCCTAGTTTTGTGGCTATCACCGTACTGTACCAGGATGCGCCCCTGCCTACACTACTTTGTCGATTTCGCGTTTTGACAGTAAAAGTATCTTTGAAATTTTATAGCTTACCGGCAAGAAGATCTCAATGTGCTTTTATCGCAAGCCCAGACGCCTTATTTCTTGCTCATGGCCACAGTTTCACACACCCCAGATAATGTTTGTACAAAGAATCTACAAAGTATAATGTGAAAATTAGAAGTGTAATTGAGACTAATGACTCGAATTGTCATGTTAGAATTGAATATGATAATATTTACCCCAAAACGCCAAGTTACAATTTCTCAAATTTTTTAATAACATGTAATTACGTTACTTGGAGCATGCAGAAACTAAAAAGTATAATAGCCACAGATGCTTCAGTAATAATTAAAAGGCAGGTGTAGGCATTGCCTCTGATTTGCTTCACTGCTCCTTCTCAGTTAGACTTTCTGATTTTACTCCAGTTTTTGAAGCGGAGCTCGCCGGCATTATTTTAGCTCTTCGACAACTTCTGTCAAATCAAAACAACGCAGTCATAATGATTGATTCTCTTTCAGCTTGTGCAGCTCTGACAGATTCTAAGAATTCGCGAATTCTAAGGACATTCAG